ATTGGATAATCAAGAGGGGAAACCCAAGATTTCCATTTCTGGACAAAAACGGAGCAACAGGGACTGACTGAATTTATTTACCCTTTTCATCATAGAGTTGCTATGAGTCAACAGCACCTAACAACAACAACAACATTTGAAGCAGTACAAAACCAAAAAGAAAAGTAGGGGGGAAAAATACAAAACAAATTTCCAAAACACTGGAAATAAGGAAACAAAATTCAGAAATCCTGAAAAACAAAAAACAGATTCTGAGAGCTAGGAAACAAATTAGGTGAACCCATTTTGCTTCCTTTACAATTTCCAGGGCAGATGCAGGAATGGGAACTCAAGGGGGACCTGGCACACTCCTGGTTTTGGGAAGAGAGAACTCTCACACTGGAGAAGCCAAAACAACTAGAGTTAGCAGAACAGCATAATGGAAAAGTGGAACTGCACAGAGAGAAAACTCAAAGGATCTGTGGAAGGTTCTCTTTAAATATGCAGAAGAGTGCTGACTGACGCTGGGACAATTAAATGTAACTGTCCAGTGCTCATGCAGAAGCCAGACATGGTTCCTGTTCTTATTAGTAATGCTAGGAAACCTTCTAATTCTAGGGTCACTGTGTAGAACATAAAGAAAGGTCTTAACTCGGTTCACTGTTACTGAGTCAACTTCGATTCAGACCCTACTTGACTCTGTAATTAGGACTAATTAGTCCTAGACTAAACACTGTCCCCGTTCCCCCTAACAAATCTTAAAACCAAGAACCAAAAGAATCAAACAACTGTTTCCCAGTAACTTAAGTGTGTCCCAGAGTTCAAAAATATTTATTAAAATATATCAACCTTGCAACAAGACAAAAACAATGTCTGGCATCCAATCAAAAATTACCTAGCATTCAAGGCAGCAGAAAAATGTGACCTATAATGTGGAAGAAAAATCAATCAATTGGAACCAGCCCAGAACTGACAGAGATGTTAAAATCTGCAGACGAGGATATTCAAACAATTATTATAACCATTTTCCATATGTTGGAAAAGTTAAATAGAGACATGGAATATATTAACAAAATCTAAACTGAACAAAGAAAAAGTAGAGCACAGGTATGATTCTCTTTTAAAAAAAACAGCGTAGAAAAATGTTGTATCAATGAATCTTTTCAGAAAAAAGGCAAATTAGTGGTAGAAGGCAGAGTGGGCAAGAGAGAGGATGAGAAAGGTGCATGAAGAATCTTTAGGTGGTGATGGATGTGTTTGTGATTTTGATGGTTCCGTGTTGCATTTGTCATGTACTGCCGTTGAATTAGAAACAATTCAAATAGTACTCCAGTGGGTTTTCAGAAGCTGTAAACAAATGGCACAAGGGGATTGCCCATCTTTCTCCATCAGAGGAGCTGGTAGATTCCAACCACTTGCCTTTTGGGCTGGCAGCACAGCTCCTTACCTACAAGAACTCACTGGTGGTTTCACATGTGTGGTGTGCACAGAGATACTTGCACACGCGCGCACACACACACACACACACACACACATACACACATATTTGTGTCAAAACTTAACACAGTGTACCTTACAGACATGTACAATTTATATATATTTTTTTGCAATTTATATCTTTCTAGTATTCAGTTTTTTATTTGTAAAACTAGGTTGGTAATCAATGCTTCATAAAGCAAGTGTAAGTTGAACAATGAATAAGATAAAAGAAGAATTTGGGGGAAAGGAGTTGGCAGGGAGAAAAGTGCAACTAAGTCTCTATAAACTTTCATTAAAATGAATTAGATAAAAGAATCGATGCTTATAAATTGTGGTACTAGTAATGAATATTGACAGTACCATGGACTGCCAAAAGAATAAATCAGTCTATAGCAGGGGTGCTTCTTGGAGGCAAAAATGGAGAGACTGCCTCACATGCTTTGGACATCTTACCAGGATCTCATGTTTAGAAAAGTAGAGAGTCATTGAAGGAGAGGAAGATCCTTAAGAAAGTCGAAAGCAACAATAGACACAGGATCAAGCAGGATGTCAACCTACTCTACTAGGAGTTGGATTTATTTCTCTGTGTTGTACTATGAGTCACTGCGCATCAGAGGCAGCACAAAGGCAGCTAACAACATTCATTCTTATCTTATCCAATTTTTTTTTAATTCTGAAAAGAATAATATGCTATAGAGATGTGAAGCTTGACTGTTAAAATATAAGCAATTATTATTGAGTCAATTCTGTCTCATGTAGGGTCTATTGGTGTCAGGGTAAAATTGTATTCCATACAGTTTTCAGTGGCTGCTTTCAGAAGTAGATGAACATCCCCTGAGGAGTTTCTGGGAGGATTTGAATCTTGAGCCTTTTGATTATCATCCAAGTGAACTAATTCTTTGAACTACCTAGGGATGCATTACAAGATCTTCATTTTCCACAGAGGTCTGTGGCCGAGAAAGTCTTTCCATTACAACAGCTCACTACATAGAAAAAGGCACACAAGTGCACGCCTGCGTGCACGCGCGCGCGCGCGCGCACACACACACACACACACACACACACACTGTCAAATCTCACCCACCTAAAAATAAAGATTCGTTCAAATGAATAAAACATATATACACTTAGATACAGATAAACTTGCCCGCGTGCAAATACTCAGACCTATAATACTTAGAGTGAAAAAAGAAAGAATTAATAAAGTTCTAGAAGATGAGGCAAAGCCAGCTGCCCAATTATTTGTCTGTAGCCTTCAATATGGATTGAAGCTCAACATCAAGAACAAAGATTTTCATTACTGGGCCAATTGGCAGTACCATGATAGATGGAGAAGAGACTGAGGTTGTTAACAATACCAGCTTACTCGGTTCCACAATCAAGACTCTTGGCACCAACGGTCAGAAGATCAAAAGATTAATCGCATTGGGAAAATCTGCTGTCAGGACCTCACTAAAGTGTTAAAGAGCAATGACGTCAGTTTAGAGACTGAGATACACCTGATTCAGGCCACGGTCTTTGCAATTACTTGCTATGCATCAGAGAGCTGGACAGTGACTAAGGATGACAGAAGAAGAATCACTATCTTTGAGTTGTGGTGCTGGAGAAGAGTATTGAACATATCATGGACTGCCAAGAGAACAAGCAGGTCTATCCCAGAGAGGGTGAAACCAGGTTGCTCTTTGGAGGCAAAGAGTTTGAAGCTCAGTCTGTCATCCTTTAGGAATGTTGCCAGGAGGAGCCAGTCCTTGGATAAGGGCACCATGCTTGGAAGGGTGGAGAGACAGTTCAAGAAAGGTAGATGCATGATGACAGGGATTGACACAGTAACGGGTAAAGGGGGTAGGTGTGTCAGTGAGAAGACTGGCTCAGGTTAGGGTGAGGTACAGAGCTACTGTACATAGGGCTGCTATGAGTTACAGGTGACTTGATGACACAGCAACAACAACAGTTCCTATTGAAAATCAGACCTACTCTTGCTCTCCAAGCCTTTTTAGTCGACTCCAGCGAATCACATCCATCTCTGTGTACTGAGCAGCAGAGAGCTCTTGGGGGCCTAGTGGTAAGTAAGTAGTTGTGCTGTCAACCCAAAGGCAGGCTGTTTGGGTCCACCAGTTGTTCTTTGGGAGGAAGATGGCAGTCTCCTGGGCATTGAACAGCCCCTAAAAGCCATTGGAGGGCCACCTGGGCACGTTCTGACTGCACAGCAATAAGTTCAAGTATTGAGCAGCAACCAGCTTAACTTTTCCTTCTGCCCATCATCTCAGTCCTTCACTGTCAGCATATTTTATAGTCACCACTTCTTTAACCATTTTCTTTGCCGATTTCTAAGCAGCAAAACAAATTTAACCCAGAGAGGAAAGAGAGAAAGGAAGAAGACAAGGAAAAGAAGGAGGAGGTGGGGAGGAATTAAGAGCAATTAATTGTTCAGGCATTCAAAAAGCATGTGAATATCAGGCCTTACGGCAGACACTGAAAATTTAACAATAAACACAGATTCATTATCTTTGCTCCTTAAGCATATAGTTAAATGCCAGATCCATACCAATCATGTAGTTTTGTTGTTGTTTATTCGAGTCAGAACCGACCCACAGCTGACCTTCCCGTTGGTTTTCACAGGCAGTTATTCGCACGGGAGATTACCTACACTTCTCCCATGGAGCAGCTGGTGGCCTCGAACCTCGTTCTTCCGGGATTGCAGAGCAGCTTCTTGCCAGTAGGCCACCAGAGCTCCCTCATCTAGTCTTAGTTCATTTATTTATAAATACAAGGTTAAAACTGGGAGGGAGCTTAAGGTAATATCATCAGCTGGATAACCTTGTATTAGCATCCATTCCGGAAACTGTGGAATGAGTACAGATTAGGTTGCTGTGAAAATTTAGTGAGATGTGGAAAAAAAGCAATTAGCACAGTGCCTGGAACAGTGAGAAGATGCCCAATTGATGTTTTTTGGTGGGGAAAATATAATCACTGAATAGCAGTCTAACAGAAAGCAGATAATGTTAGCCTCCCACTTCAGATCATGGTGAATGCTCAGCTTCTTGGCAGTCAGTGGCTTAGAAGAATTCAGAGATAGCACTCTGCATTTCAATCAAATTAGCCCTCTGAACAGTCATCTTTCTCATCTTCTTCCATCTACTGGAATCATTTCCAATTCTCTCCTCTCCAGCACTAGTTATGAAGCTATCCAATCACTTGTCCCTGGAAGAGGCAATTGGTTTAAGTTCCTCATCTCAGTTCCAGAGATGATATAACAATATACTAAAGCCTTCAAACATGTTAGTTTCTGAGAAGAGAAAGCTCAAATTCTCTTCAGAGTTGAAAGCTCAACCTGACATACCAGGAATTCCTCCCAATCGTAACACATTACCTTCTTTCTTAAAAACCACCAAAAAGCACACAGGAATGGGCACCAGATGACCATCATTAAACAATTGAACCACACAATGCCTTCCTTAGTCTCCAAAGCATCGAACACTCCCAGGGCCCAACCTCTGTCACGCTATCCTAACAAAAAAGGGAGCCAGAGGCCTTCTACCTACCTGTGTAAAGGTCAGTATCCGTGTATTCATCCACTTTCTTGTGCTGCAGAATATAGTCTGAGACCTTGGTCCCAATAGCTGGCTGAACATCCACCCACTCCAAGGAGACCACGGTGCTGGAAGGCTCCACCGTTGGGGACAGCCGCAGCCTACAGAGGTGACAGGGAACTCTGCTGGTTCTCTATAATGCATTATAGTCTTATAACACATGCTAAAACTAGGTCCTAAGATGGTCTGCAGGCTTGAAGATTAAATCACAGACTTCAGATTGTGTATAGATCTGGATTCTCTCTACCACCAACCCACTGAAAGGCCTTCGACAAGCTACTTTACCACTTAGAGTTTCCACTTACTCATGCATAAAATGGGGGATAAGGAAATACTAGTCTTTAGTTTCAGTGTAGAATCCAGTAAATTAACCTAAGCAAACAATATGTGCTCACTGAAAGAAATTAGTGCTCTGTTTATTTAAACTACATTCTCAATGATGGTTCAATTTCTAGTAAATTGTGCCTTCAAACACTCTCATTTTAAATCTCTCTGCTAGTCTCTTCAATCTCCTAATATATTTGGCAATTAATATTTTAAATGGATAATCTCTCAGAGAGGGCTTAATACTGAGATGGCTCTATTTCTAAATCAAGGAATAAAAGAATGATTGAGAGTTATAAACGGAATATTCTTTAGAGATAATGAAGTAGAATTCTCTCATTCCACAGGTGGGAAAAATAAGGCCCAGCAAAAAGAAATCATTTTCACAAGGTCACACAGCAAGTTGTAGGCAGGGCCATATGGCAGCTTTGCTTTTCCCCAGTCTAAATCTCTCTTTCTCTCATTCCACTACATCATACTGCCTCTTTAAGGTATCCTTTAATGCAATTCTTCTGACCCCATTGAGGAGTAGCATGTAACTGTGAATTTCCTAATATTGGGTGCTGCCCATTTCTCAGATAATCTTCACACCACTCTCCCTCTTAATCATATTCCTCCAGCCAAGAAGACTTTATCTTTCCTCAAGTGGTGAATTTCCTATGTCAGCACCTCAATGTATGATGTTCCTTCGACCTAGAATGTAATTATATTGCTACTTGCTGCTCGGCTAGCATTATTGTAGCCATTCAGATCTCATAGCAGAGGTTTCCCTGATGGCACTTCCTCCCTTCCAATCAAGGTATTCTCCTTTATTCTCTCTATTAACAACTCTTTGTTCTTTCATGTTTTCTCTTGTTCAAATTTTTAAACTGTCTCCCACTTCCGGTTGGGTTTTTTCCTCCTTTCTTGTTTTATCTTAAATGTCTGTGTTCCTCACCACACTGGCAGCTCACCTAGTACATGGACTGTGCTATCCACTGATGTCCTCATTACCAGACACACAGAAAGAATTAAAAATGATTTGCTGAATGAATGAACAAAATGACGTTGCTTTACAGAGGTTCTACACTTTCTCTCTTTCAGAAATCCAATTGCTTAGCATAAAAATGACAAAGCTCTAGTCATCGTTTGAGAACTCTTTGCTAAATGGATGAGAGGAGGAAATATCACCAATTAAGTGGTATGAGTCAAAACAGCACCCTGTAAGATTTATGTCTAACCTCTGAGCTAGGTTCCTTCTCTATCATGACTCCATTCTGCTCCTAAGAAAGAGGTAGATCTGGGAAGTTTCAGAAATGTGATTAGAGGAGAGAAGTAAGCCATGGCCTGGGCTGACAGAATGGAGGGGTGGTCAAAGGAAGAGGGGCCATACATACGTACACCGGCTGTGGGAGGGGGCTGCAGTTGGGGAGCCCGTTGGCATCAAAGGCGCTGAGGTCACATCTGCACCAATCATCAATCACGTCCCCTTTCCCTGAGCACCAGTAGGAGCTCATCAGTGCACCCTTGAAGGCCTGGAATAAAGAAGGACAGGAGAGGTAATGATGACAGTGGTGGAAGAACTAGAGAGTCGATGAGCTGCGGACCATGCTGGTAGGCAAGGCCTTCAGAGCGGCTTCCTGGACACAGAGGCCATCTCTGGTTATCCTCTGGTCTCCCTACATCCAGGCTCTCATACCCTACGCCAGTCGCTATCTGATAGCCAGAATGACTGACGAGACACAGTGAAATCACCATCCATAGAGAGCTTCCATTGATCCCAGAACTCTAAGTTCATTCATGTATGATCCACCATGAGCCTACAAAATACATTTGATCATTAATATCATTTCCTCTTTTAAAGAATTTGCCTGAGGACCACAGTTCAAAAGTGACAGAACCTGCTTTCTTCAACACCTTGTTATATTGCCTCTCATAAGTTTACCTCACTATTCTGTTTCACAACCTCCAGAGGCCCTTAGGATAATGTGTTAATTTCTTGCTAGAGCCATGGATTTTATCCCCAGTCTCACTGTCCCTGTCATTTCCCCTTACATTCTACCATTCACCCTTTAGGAAGCCACTTGCATGTCTAGCAACAATGAATTCCTGTTTACTTAAACCATGCTCAACAGTTAAGTGCTCAGCTGAAAGGTTGGCAGTTCAAACCCACCTGGTGGTTCCTCAAAAGAAAGACATGGTAATCTGTTTCTGTTAATGTTACAGCCATGAAAACCTCCTGTGGCAGTTCCATCCTGTTACAAGGGGTTATTGGGAGTCTAAATTCACATGACAGCACTCTCTAACCATAATCAGGGGACAATAAAAGTGCTTCTGAAAAGCGCCAGCCGGCTGGGTAGTCTCTGCCACTCTGCCTTCGGCGTATGGGAAGTTGTAGGTTCAGAGGTAGAATTCTGGCCTTTCATGTGGCCGACTTGAGCTTGACTCCGGGAGAAAGAGGCTTGAATATCACTATGTAACTGAAGATGTTTCAGTAGTTTGCGCACTAAGAAAGGCCTAGTGATCTACTTCCCAAAATCAACCAAGGAACCTCTATGGATCACAAATGAGAGCAGATCATGAGATCATGGCCCAGGACTTGAGCACAGTCAGGTCTCACTCCACATCAGCTAACAGCGTCCACCTTTTATAGGATGGAATTGCACAGAAAAAAAGCTTCACTGAGTGCATGTGGTTGTACTGGAAAAGAACAGCAACAACAATAACTATTTACAAAAAGAAATAACTGTACCAAGAAGGCATAACTTTTCGACCCAACTGTAAATGATGGTTATATTTTTTAAAAAATATTTAATTGCAGCGTGTTTCGTTGTGTTACTCTTGAAACACATTTTGCTCTCTAGATGGAATATTTCCCCCTTTTGCACATTTAAGTGCACTTTTTCTTTTTAGTTCCTGTGGAATGGAAGCTCCGACGGCCTACTTGGTTAAGAAGTTGTGTTGCAATCCTGAAGGCATGTAGTTCGAATCTACCAAACGCTCCTTAAAAGAAAGATGGGCAATCCCCTCCCATGCAATTAATTGCCTCTAAAAACCCAATGAAGGATCAGTGATGGGTCTGTTCTGATTCCAAAACAAGACACAACAAAACCAACAAGATTCTCTCTGAGGAACCTCCTCTGAAATTTCTATGCCTGGGATCATGATCTTCAGCTTGACACTGTCGCAGAAGAACATCCATACCATCACATTTGTCTGTCTGTCTTATTCAGCAGACTATGATCCTACAAAGCAAGTGCCAGGAAATTCCTCAGGGGACTGAGCATTGGACTGCAATCAGCATTTCACCAAAAAATGGATAGACACTAAACAACTCATCATTGATGTTCACAGTTATTAGTTTTCTTCAGTTTCTTCCCAGACAGACAGGAAATCTTCCACTTTTCCCCCCTCTTGACATCAAACGTAGATGTAAAAGAGATCCCTTGATGTAAGTGTGATGCTTGAATGAACTGGTCAAGTTAAATTAAATCCCTTCACTCGTGTTGACTTTCTAAGACATCAAGGATTTCGAATGCCTGTCAGCGCTCTAAAACTTAGAGGTTCCAGAGAAAGCTGAGCTCTTACTCTTCTGTTGGGGAGCAGGTATGTATACACTTGCTGTCTTTGTGCTTTTAAATGAAAATGTCCTACTGCCTACAAGGATGGCACAGGATATGACAGGGCACTACGAGCTGTTCTCAATTTGACAACACCTCACAATAGCATCATGTTCGAGTCCACTAGATTATCTGAATATCACTGTTTTCATCCTGTGCTGGGCAACATATTCAAGTACAACATTGTTTGCAAGGCCAGTCTACAATCTGCTTCTTTAGCTAACCAGAACACAGATCTGTTGTTGTTGCTGTTAGATACCGTCAAGTATGACCCATAGTGACCCTACAAACAACAGATCTGAACCCTGTCCCGTCCTGTGCAATCCTCACACTTTTGACACACTAGAGCCCAGTGAGGCAGTCACCGTGTCATTCCACCTGGTTGAGGGTCTTCCTCTCTTTTGCTGACTCTCCACATGTCCAAGCATAATGTCCCTCTCCAAGGAACAGCCTCTCCTCGCAACATGCCCAAAGTACGTAGTAGAACACAGATCCAGAGAGGAGTATGTGGAAGGAGTATGAGGAAGATAGTGAAAGGATTTGTAGGGTGAAAAGATAGGCAAGGAACAGACAGGTTTTGAGAAGACTTTATAATAAATTACATTGATCATATAATTATAATATTATAAACCAATGTATATGCAATTTGGTGGGGTGGGGGAGCGAAAAGAAATGGGACAGATCCTGCGTGAAGAACAATGTATTTGGACTTTGAAAATAAATTTAAAACAAATAAAAAAGCTAAAACACTTGCTAAAAAAGTAGTAAACTTAATAGCATGGCACTTTTCCCAACAGGATGAAGAAAAAAAACAAAAACACCACAAAACCCCATGTGTATGAATGAGTGAATGAAAACCATTTTTTTCAAAAGGATGTTATTATTTTAGCTGCCATCCCATTTTTCCCAAAACCCTTTGACAAGGAGATCCTGATTATTCCTTCTCTACATTTTTACCCATTCCTCTGCTCAAACTCATGCTTTGGCATCAGTTCTAACATGTAGGACCCGCCTCCTCCCTTCATGGATTTCTGAGACAGTAAAACTTAGAGGGAGGAGACTGTACATCTTTCTCCTGCAGAACAGCTGGTGGTTTTGAAATACTAAAGACAAGTTACTTTTTTGTTAGCAGTGCAACTCTGCATGGACGACACCACCAGAAAGCCATCCTTTTCTAAAAGTGAACGTCAAATGGCCTCATTTCTTCCGAGTTAGGTATCATTCATGCATTGCTGTTGAGTTAGAACTAACTCATAGCTGATCTGTTAACGGGTTCTCCTGAGACTAAATCAAAGAGGACATGGCCCATCCTTCTCCCATGGAACTGCTGGGGCCTCTGAACCAACGGGTAGGTGCAACCTTTAGGTTAAGCAGCACAACTCCCTACAAACTAGGCCACCAGAGTGCAATGATAACAAAATTTAAAAAAAAAAAATTATAGTAAAAGTCAACATTTAGGAAGCACCTACTTATGCGCTCCTTGAGTACATGAAAAAACAAACAAACAAAACCACACAAAACCAAACAAAACATCCTATTTCCTCAAAACAGTGCTGTGATACAGACATTAAGATCCTTGTTTACAGGTACAACAAAATTTAGGTGTCAAAGCAGTGAAGCAATTCTCCCAAGTTCTCACAGCAGGTAAATAGTAAAGCAAACTCAAAGTCTTTGTGACTTCCAAGTTCAGGGCTTTCCTGTTCAATGATTCAGGACAGTGGCTTAAGTCCAAGGAAGTTTGTCTTATTTGGTTAAAAAAAAAAGATAAAAGATGACTTATGAATCCCATTTGAGTTTGAGATATAAACGTTTTTATCTTCAGTAGATTACATCCCATGCGATTTTGACATGCAAAGTGTCTGTCCCAGAGTCAGGTACACAGTAAGAGCACTGTTCCTATTACATGCCAGAGCCTACACTGGGAACAAATGTCCATTCACCTACCAGCACCAGACTGAGGCACTCTCATGTGGGCAGGAACCAGATGGAAAAGAAAGAGGAGGGGAGAGAACATCCTGTTTTGTATGTGCGTGTGTCTGTGTTTTTGTTTGTGTGTATGTGTATGTGTGTGTGTGGGGGGGGGGAGGCTTGTGTAATCGACAGGAGCTTGAGTGTGTGGAAAACAAAACAGGAAATCTCTTTTGGACTTAGTGAGTTTCACCAGCCATGCAGCTCTTGGGAAGAAATCCTGTCTCTGAGTCTCCCCATCCACTGGCTCTTCCCCAAATGCTGAGGAACAGAATGGGGACTGGTACAATGGCCAGACAAACCCTGGATGGAGCACAAACACACCCTGATAAAAGGCCCACATCAAAAGGGGAGCCCTTGAAAGGCAGCAGAAGCCAGCATTGTGTCAGCACAGGATTGCACTTCCCTTACGTCTTCAGTCCTTGCAACACTCAGTTCACAGTCCAATCATATCCCAGGGGAGGAGAATCAGGGAGTGTTCCAACTTGAAGGGAATCTGTAAATAATCTAATCTAATCCGTTTTACAGATGCAGATACAGTGGCCCAGAAAAGCTAACTCAAAGGCTAACTAACTGGTGGCCCAAGGTGATAGAGGAAACTCCTGCTTTACTTTTTCAGTGTCCTACTCCCATTTACAGATAAGCATGTCAGAAGAGAGGCTTAGAATGAAGGTCATCTGAGTCCTGGCATGTTTGACCTTCCTAGGTCATTCTGGAACAATAAATGCCAAGATTTCATCTAAAGCTTTATTTTCAGCTAATCGACTGATGTCATATTCTCTGTGTGTATGTATATGTTGCATGTGTGCCCGTGTGTGTGTGTGTGTGTGTGTGTGTGTGTGTGTGTATGTAGGATCATGTATGTGTGTGTGCATGTGTACACACATACTTTTTCATGTGCTTTCAGA